CTATGGAGGAGAAGACCTTCAGCTCTTCTATGAAGACCTTTGGTGGGCAGATTTGCTACCCAATGAGAACCCAACATATCAGCATATTTAGTTGAAAAACTCAAATTTCCCGAAATATGGAATAATTGGGGGAACCGTTATAGGAAGGAAATTCTGAAACATGAACATGATAAATATTGGTAGGGGAGAGGGGGGCACCTTTGAACACTTTTTGCTTTCAAGCCTTATAAAATTTTTTATTTTATAATTTTTAGTTTCTTAAAAATTTTAACTAATAGGTACATATGTAACCTTCAAAATGAATATACATATGACATACTATAAGCTTGATAAATATATGTTATTACTGTTTTAATGGACGAACTCAAAGTGTTCAAAGCTGCCCCCCCCAGGGGGGCAGCTTTAAATACAAAGGTGCCCCACCCATGGCATTTTACGGAAATTTAAAATAACTTTTTTTGTAATAAATATATATGAAAGAAATTACATTAGTTATGTTTGAAATGATTGTTGGAATGCAAAAAATTTGTTTGACGAAAGAAAACTATCACAGAATTCTTCCTGCGCCCTTACAACCAAATGAATAAAAGTTTACAATGACACTGAGAAAACATGGTCACCCATGCACAATTTTTCGACAACTGAAAAAGCAAGCCAAAGTGGTTTACGCATACAGAGAACAAGATTGCCATATACAAAAATGTGGTTGCGGGTCGGAAAAATATTAAACCAAGATTTTATGAGCGCTGTTCAAAGGTGCCCCACGTTCAAAGGTGCCCCCTTTTCCCCTATAGATGTTTTCAATTACAGCCAATTAAGTGGAAAAACGTGGTAATGAAATTTTATTCCGATCTAGTATTGATAGAAAAGTGTGGATATCAACTTTTTTTTTTTTTTTTTTTTTTTTTGCAAATTTTTAATGATAGTGTAGATTTTTTAAAGAATATTTTTTCGAAGTAGTAGCAGATCGTAGATTTTTTAAAGAGCATTTTTTCGAAGTAATAGCAGAGCTTAGATTTTTCAAAGAATATTTTTTCGAAGTAATAGCAGAGCGTAGATTTGTTAAGGAATATTTATACCCTTCACCACACTGTGGTACAGGGTATTATGTCTTTGTGCATATGTTTGTAACAGGCAAAAGGAAACGAGATAGACACATGGTTCCTTTTGAGAATATGCATAGAATCACTTTCTGAGTCGATTTATGCATGTCCGTCCGTCCGACCGTCCGTCTGTCCGTCTGTCCATGTTAAATTGTAAACAAAGTACAGGTCGCATTTATGATCGGAATTGGATGAAATTTGGCATAGGTCACTTATTCGGCCCAAGGACGAACCCTATTGAAATTGGGAAAAATCGGTTCAGATTTAGATATAGCTCCCATATATATATTTAACCGATTTAATGTAAACGGTCCCTATATATCTTTCGATTTGCACGAAATTTGGTACAGCCTAATCATTTAGGTCTAGAATGATGTCTGCCAAGTTTCGTGAAAATCGGTCCAGATTTAGATATAGCTCCCATATATAGTTTCGTCCGATTTAGATATAGCTCCCATATATAGTTTCGTCCGATTTCATGTAAATAGTGCCCAAAGTCCCTATATATCTTCTGATTTGCACGAAATTTGGCATAACGTACTGAATTAAGCCTAGAGGGATGTCTGCCAAGTTTGGAGAAAATCGGTCCAGATTTAGATATAGCTCCCATATATAGTTTCGTCCGATTTGATGTAAATGGTCCACCAAAGTCGCTAAATATCTTCCGATTTGCACGAATTTTGGCATAACGTACTGAATTGAGTCTAGAATGATGTCTGCCAAGTTTCGTGAAAATAGGTCCTGATTTAGATATAGCTCCCATATATAGTTTCGTCCGATTTCATGTAAATGGTGCACCAAAGTCCCTATATATCCTTCGATTTGCACGAAATTTGGCATAACGTACTTAATTGAGCCTAGAATGATGTCTGCCAAGTTTCGTGAAAATTGGTCCAGATTTAGATATAGCTCCCTTTTATTATAGATTGATTTTAAGTAATTGACGTACTAAGGAACCAATTGGAATAAAACGTTCTGAAAGTTGTATAACCTAACCTGTGACAAGTTTGTTTGAAATCGCTCAATATGTGGATAGAGCTTCCATATATATTTTCGCCCGATTTCTAGTAAATTGGGCATCAAACTCCTCATGTTAGTCAGATTGACATCAAATTTTGCACAACTTAAAAAATTGAGCATAGAATTACGTAGTTGCGTTTTCTAGAAGTGCAGACATAGCCCAACGGATGACCTATTTATATTTGTTTGAAGTCGATTGACATACTTTATGGATAGATCTAGGTAGATTCACATTTAGATAAATATCACATTTTTTTCATCCAATTTTATGTTATAGTCCTGCTTAATATACCCATAGTGGTGAAGGGTATCATATAGTCGGCCCCGTCCGACTTTACTACTTTCCTTACTGGTTTTTCGATGTAAAAGCAGAGCGCAGATTTTTAAAGAATATTTTTTCGAAGTAGCGTAGATTTTTTAAAAACTATTTTTCAAAGTAATAACAGAGCATAGATTTTTTAAAGTATATTTTCGAAGTAATAGCAGAGCGGAGATTTTTTAAAGAATACTTTTTCGAAGTAATAGAAGAGCGTAGATTTTTGAAAGAATACTTTTTCGAAGTAATAGCAGAACATAGATTTTTTAAATAATACTTTTTCGAAGTAATAGCAGAACGTAGATATTTTAAAGAATACTTGTTCGAACTAGTTTTTAAAGAATATTTTTCCAAGGGTCATCAGAGCGATTTTTTCGATGGCATTTTTTGAAAAATAAATTTTTTCCAATGGTAACTGGGGCGTACATTTTTTAAAGAATAATTTTCCAATGGTAACCGGGGCCTAATTTTTTTAAAGAGTAAAGGCGTTGTATACCAAGAGAGAACCAGGGAAGTTTCTGATTTACACGAGTCGCCCTGATGGCCCTATGTTCTCTAGGGCCGCAGACGGGTTGAGGAACATCTAAATAAGATCCCAATAAAAAAATAACTAAAAAAGCTTATCCCATTCGAAAGCTATAACGAATTTACTATGATTGTTTTAGATAGATTATCATTTAAGCATGGATTTATATACATATATATTATAATATAATATATATAATTTTGAGTTCCTACATCTAGATCTGATCCGTATAGACTAATTTAAAACAAAAAACCTCACGATAGTCAAATTTTTTAATGAGTTACAGAGCTATCTTTGGATGGGTATAAATGTACCACGGTTATTGATCTACGTATATTTTTTTGGTTATTGACCGTAGGGTTAAAGAAAAATTTTTTAAGGTAGCGTAGATTTTTTAAAGGCATTGCCATGCTGGACAGGATTCATTTATTCTCTGAACGTGTGATATATTGGATTTAGCATCTATATCGAAATAATTTGGAAAATGAATATGCAAATTTTATAACATCAATGAATAGGTTGGTAAGATTGTCTGAAATAGAGAAACAATGGAATGCAAAACTAGTCACAATCGAGGTGTAGACAAATTTACTACACACTCCAACTCCTAGGATATTGTCATGCTGAACGGGAACCCTTTATTCTCTGAACGAATTAGCTTCCATACTCCTGAAAATATTTTTTTTTTGTTATTTTCCATAATGGCATAATTAATTACTTAACACTGGGCGTGTACTAACTCATATATACAAGTAGCTATGCATATGTATTAATATACATATGCATAATTTTTGCTATACATATTTACTAATATATATATATATATATATATATATATCTAAGTTATATTTGCATTGTTGTTGTTTTTGTTGTTGGCATGTCAATTAAGTTTGTTTTACGCTTCGTATAACATTTTTGTGAATGCATAGGAAATTTTTAGTAGACTGTGTAGTATCGTTGCAGTTGTTATTGTTGTTGTGGTTGTTGTTATCAAAAACATGTGTTTGTAATTATAGATTGTTAAATTAATTAAAAATTATGTTTTCTGGATATATAAAAATGTAGACAGTGTGTTATGACATAATTTTAATAATTGCTATTTGAACTAAGAACTTGGGGACAGATTTTACGAAAAATACGACATTTTCTATTTTAAGATAATCTGTGATAAGTGCTGGAAAGAATTAGAGACAAGTGTTATCGTGATGTTAGAATAATTTGTGTAATTGGGTGGCAAGGTTAAAACAAAGGAGATTTTTTTTTAGTGCACGAGAGATCAGGCACGTAGACAGGATTTCATTTCAGGGGGCCGTTGGTTCAAACATACATTTTTTGTATAAAAAAATATTTTGGAGCCGGGTTCCATAGGCCCTCCTCTGTGTACGCCCCTGGAGGAATACTATAAATATATTTTGTTCCTTTATTCCGTTTGTAGCACCTCGAAATATCCAAAAATAATTTTTTTTGGGATCAGAATAAAATTCTTTGCCGACTTAGCAAGTTTGCTTGTCTGTTGAAATCATAGTGCTCGTAATATTTTAAATGGAGCTTTGAAACTTTGCGCATACATTGCTACTACTCCCCGGATGATGACTCTGAAAATGGTCTATGTTTTGGAAAAGCTTGCATATAATTGTAAATGTTGGGTACATTCTAGTAACTTGGGTTCTAATTTCGTAGCTAATGTTTCAACCAAAGACTAATATCGGGAACTCATTTGTAAGGAAAATTTTCCTACTAAAAATTGTCGGTATTTTTCGACCAAAGTATCTGTAAATTTTGACTTCTAATTGGGCAGAAAATGTTTCCTATCGAAAATTATCCGTTCCAGGCAAGATTATTAAATTTTGGTTGAAAATCTCTCTACCAAAATGATCAATGTCGAAAGGTGCCACTTTAAGTTTAATTAATCGAAATCTTCTCTCATCTCCATTATCACCATCAAAATTGATCTTTCAACTGAAACGAAATATCTCTCCATACTCTTCTATTCAATAATAATTTTGAATTCTTTTATTCTTCTTTTTAATTGCAGAAATTCACAACATTCTCAACTGTCACATTAAGTCTTTTCGTGGGACTAGTCATTTTAAGTGAGTATTGAATTCGTATACATAGTAATTATAAATAGAAATTATTTTGAAATCCCAGCATTAAAATTCAAAATAATAAAATTGGTTGACAAATGGCAATAAAAATCTTAAATGATACGGTATACGGCACAAGAGACTCCAAAAAATAAGTATAATGAGCAAATATTAATTGTTTTATTTATGACTAATAAATGTCATATCAATCTGTGTCATATCATTGACGTTTACTCATTTACCATAGATGATGGGTGGTAATAAAAATTGTTTTATGTGCATCCTGAATGAAATATGGGAAAGAAAAAAGTTAAATTAGTAGTGCTTAATTTCAAATTTTAATCTTGTATGGATTCAGTTCACTGCACCTGTCATCTCTTTCAAAATATTTGAAATATCGTAAATTTGTATGAACGATTTTTGGTAGGATTTAATTCTATTGTGCAAACTTAAGTGAGAGGTTCAGACCATATGAAACGATATCACGGGTTCCTTCATAATCATTTAAAAAACATGAAAATGAAAAAGAATATTTGTCAGTATGTGCAAAATACCGAATATCGGGGAAATCTTTATATTAGTGCTACCCGAAACTTGTAGTTAATATTAATAATTTTTGCAAGGGAGATTTTCTATTGCTACTTAATGACAGCTCAAAATACAAACTTACAGCAAATTTGGGTGAAAAACTTGCCAATCATCCCAAAAATAAGGGTATCCAAAAATATAAATTCCATTTATAATAAATATTCTAGAAGTACTGGCCATGACAATTATACAAAATTCATTCTCGAACGATTTGGGACTTGTGTTTTGGGGTAATTATCTTAATAAAATTGTAATTTTGCCACAATCCCAATTTTTCAGTACAACATTTAAAATTATATTTTATAATGTTTAAGGGAACCCACCCCCCCCCCCCCCCGATTTTTTATTTTTAAGATTTTAAATAGGCTGGTAAATGAATACCAATGCGTGTTAAGGTTTGTAACTTTGCACATATATATTTGAAGATTTAAAAAGGAAGAAAAATAATTTACAAAAAATTTTTGTTGTTGTTTTTTTGTGATCAAAGAAAAGTTCTTATTTTTGATGGCGGGCATGATAACTCCTCACTGGAACATCGGAATCCGAAAATTCCAACGGTGTTAGAAAGAGTACATGTCTGGCTCTCTAGGATTATTGACTTCGCACAACAATTAACAAAATGGCGGAACTTTGATTTTTTTTTTTGAAAATCGCCTATTTTTTACCACAAACTAAGTTAAAAAATAAGGAAGTTCTTCATACGAGAGCTATACACTCCCAGAGAAACGTGTCAAAATTTGGAACCGATTGGGTTATTAGTTTTTGAGTTATCGTGCCCGCCATTCGCAAAAGAAAAAAAAACGAGTTGAAAGTTTGAGAAGTCCTTCAGCCGTCACTTGATGCTGACACAATAAATCGGCTATATCTTCAAGACCCCGAGAAAATTGGGGGGTCCCCTTAAAGATAAATAAATAAATACGAGATTTTCTACTCCGGCAGCGCTTATACAGCCTCATAACATTATAGAGCCTCCTCCGGAATTGTGTGCTTAGGGTCTACGGCTTTATTTGCCCGGCTTTATTCGCCTTAACTTGGTCCATCCGACCCAAACAAGTTAAATTTGCTTTCTTCAGCAGAAATAACAGATTTCCAAAATGCAAAATCCTTTTTTTTGTTCCTGAATGAACTCCAATCGGATTTTCCTGTTTTCGTGGTTTATAAATGGCAACTCTACCATGATGTAGAACTTTTCGAATTGTTTCTGGGTTAAATTGTTTCCAGATATGCATTTCAGCTAGTTTAGTTTGCGTCGGAGCAACCACTTATCTCTTATATTGAGTATTTTTAACAATAATTATTTTTATATCCTCCACCATTGTATGGAGCGTATATTAATTTTGTTTTTCCGTTTGTAACTCATCGAAATAATCATTTCCTAACCTATAAAGTATATATATTCTTGATCAGCGTAAAATTCTATGACGATATAGCCATGGGGTTCTTGAGTGCGCTTTTCAACCGAATTCGTCGAAAGTTGCTACATTGGGTTCTTATTGCATACCAAATGTCTCCACATCAAATTATAAATATAGGTCTACTTTTTTCTGGTAGCCCCTATGTAACGGTACCTCCTAATTTTCAATATTCTGGGGATTTATATCGTATTTTCCGCCGAATTAGGTGTAATTAAGTATTTTGAGTTCTTTATAGGACCCAAATCTCTCCACAAAAAATTTGAATATAGGCCCATTTTTTCGGAAAGCCCCCATATAAGGGTCCCCCAACCGAATTCGCTGAAATTTGCTACATTGGGTTCTAAATGTCTCCACAAAAAATATGAATATATGTTAATTTTTTCAGTTAGCCCCCATTGTTCTTGAGCGCATTTTTCAACCGAATTTGCTTCAATTTGATATTTGGTAGTCGTATATGGTAACAAATCTTCCTACCAAAAATTATTAATAATCGCCCCCTTTTTGGGGTAGTCCTCATATAACCCCCCGTTTTTATACCCTTCACCACACTGTGGTACAGGGTATTATGTCTTTGTGCATATGTTTGTAACAGGCAAAAGGAAACGAGATTGGGAAAAATCGGTCCAGATTTAGATATAGCTCCCATATATATTATCGTCCGATTTAGTGTAAATGGTTTACCAATGTCACTACATATCTTTCGATTTGCACGAAATTTGGCATTGCGTAATGAATTATGTCTAGAATGATGTGTGATAAGTTTCCTGGAAATCTGTCCGGATTTAGATATAGCTCCCATATATATTTTCGTCCGATTTAAGGTAAATGGTGCGCCAAAGTCCCTAAGTATCTTTCGATCTGCACGAAATTTGGCACAGCGTAATTAATTAGGTCTAGAATGATGTGTGTTAAGTTTCCTGAAAATCGGTTCAGATTTAGATATAGCTCCCATATATATTTTCTTCCGATTTAAGGTAAATGGTGCACCAAAGTACCTATATATGTATCGATTTGCACAAAATTTGGCATAGCGTACTGAATCAAGTCTAGAACGATGTGTGTAAATTTCTTGAAAATCGGTACAGATTTAGATATAGCTCCCATATATATTTTCGTCCGATTTTATGTAAATGGTGCACCAAAGTCTCTATATATCCTTCAATTTGCGCGAAATTTGACACATCGTACTGAATTCTAGAATGATTAACACACATCATTCCTGAAAATCGGTTCAGATTTAGATATAGCTCCATATATATTTTCGTCCGATTTAAGGTAAATGGTGCGCCAAAGTCCCAAAAAATCTTTCGATCTGCACGAAATTTGGCACAGCGTAATTAATTAGGCCTAGAATGATGTGTGTTAAATTTCCTGAAAATCGATTCAGATTTAGATATAGGTCCCATATATATTTTCATCCGATTTTAGGTAATTGGTGCAATAAAATCTCTGAAAATCTTTTGTGTGGAGGCTCCAGAATGACTTTTCCGATATTCCCATCTTCGAATTTGAACTAAGTTTGGAAGAAATAATAAGATGGGTAAAGTTTGGATGAAATCTAAATTTTATGAAACGGTTTAGATCCAAAGAAACATTGGGTCTAGAACCAATATTTCGAGATTTAAGTCTTTCCGGAACAAACTAGTTCAAAGAACTACTCCGCAAAAGTACAATGGGTGCTAGATCTGATTCTTTGGATATCTACATCATTTTGCTAAAGCGAATACTTGATTTCACAAAACAGACTTTTAATTTCTGACAGAAGATTTTTATACTTTGAGAACATAAAATAGAAAATGAGATAGGTTGGACTAGTCACATGGACCCTCAATATACCTAAAATTAAATGAGACATTTATATGGGGGTTTCCAAACCCCATTGGTCTATTTTGATAGAATTTATTTTATCTTCAGCTATTTCGAAGGCCAATTGTATTGGAAAATACGACTACAAATTTTAAAATACCTAAAGTAGTGAAGCGAATCTATGTTGAAATACGGACATCATGACTTTTGTGCAGTTGTTGTTGTCCTTTCTTATTTAGTTTTATCACTTTCCTCGTGGTGGCGCTATATCCCGCAATAGTGATTATTAGACCTTGGATTTTGCATATTTTTATAATTATAAAGATATCAAATTTTTGATTGGACACAAATTCGTTTCAAAGGATTTAGAATTGTTTGAAGGGTTCATATTTTTTTATTTTTTTGCATATAAACTTCGCAGACATCAGTCTGGACCTAATTCGGTACTCTGTGCAAAATGTTGTCCCAATCGGAAAGTGATTCTATGTATATTCTCTATCTCGATTCCTTTTGCCTGTTACAAACATATGCACAAAGACATAATACCCTGTACCAGAGAGTGATAAAGGGTTTAAAAATTGTTTTACTATTCTGGTTGGGTTTCCATTAGGAGTATTTTATTCACCGCCAAATTGGAACCACTTAGTTTGGAAAAATGCTACTAGAAGTAGGACTGAACCTATAATGAAAAGTTTCTGCAATATTTCAATTGGAAAAAACAAATGAAAAATAATAAAATCTTTAAAATACAGTAATTAATATCAAATACTCTTCCATCATAAAGTGACACTGAATTTAAAAAATTCACTTTAAATTTTATTATTTTAAAAAAACGTTCCACTTTTTAAAACCAAGAACAATGGGAATGTGTCCCATTAAGGACATCTTTATTGGATATTTGTTACGGTATTTTTGTTAGTCACTCTTTTGCTATTATTATATTTTTTGCTATTTTATCCATTCGATATTCCATAGCTCCTAAAAATGATTCATCTTATTTTACATAATTTCATACAATTGAGTATTAACAAAATTATTATGAATATATTACAATACATACCTACAGAACTTTAATAATAATTCCTTTCATTTTCGTTTTTTATTCCTTTTTTCCTTTCATGTTATCCTTTCGATGATGACGATGACGTTGCCGACCACAAAAAACACCAATAGTCACAAGACTTGGTTCAGCATGGCATGTTGCCCATACGACAATTATAGCGCCATATAAAGCATTTTCGCGTGAGAAATTGCCGGCGCGTATTGGTACCCACATTGGTCTGATGCATGTCAATGTGACGTTGACAGGTAAGTTTCAATCTAACACCTACCAAACTAAGTTAAGGCAGAGAAAGAGAGAGAGAGAAGGGAAGGAAAAACTGCAGCCTTTAAGGAAAAACACCCCAATTGTGTTTTTTGGGGAAAAATTTTCAACTGCCTACCCGTAAATCTGCTTTGATGTCCAGTTGCAATTTTCTTTTCAATTTTTTTGTTTTTTTTTGTTTTGGCTTGTGTGTTGTTGTAGTTTTTGCCTTCAAGTCATTGGTTTTGGTTATTTTGATCACGCTGTTCGTTTTAATGATATTTTCGGTTTTAGTTGGTGGACAGCTTTTGGTCGTTGGCTGGCTGTCTGCCTTGCCAGCTAGCCAGTCAGCCATCGAACGTAACGGCTTAAAATAATTTCAGACTATTTTAAATTTCATGTAGCATTTTTGGGGCGAAGAAGTCCAAATTATTTTAAATTGATTTTAAGCGAATTTAATAATGGCTAAACATGATTTGTTGCGGCTACTGTCAGGTCAGGTGAGGTAGGCAGGCCAGTCCAGTCCAAAAGGAAATCATTTGTGGTTATTGAAAATTTAAAATTCAAGCGAGAGAGGTGTTTACAGCATGGTATGTAATTTTGGGATACC